TATAATCAGTAACATGCTTTATGCTTGTCAGGCAGCTTAAAGACAATATAAGAAGTTTTCCCAGTTCTTTGCATGACCCAGTTTTATGGGGGAAATTTTATATAAATTTTAATACCTATGAAAAGCATGAGTTGGAATCAGATGCATGTACAACAAGCACTTTTACCTTAAAAAAAAAAAAAATCAGTGTAAGGAATCTGGCAACTTTTGTGTTTACAGAGAGTATGCATTTCAAAGACAATCAAGTCTAATAAATTCAGATTAGTTGTTAAGCCTAATATTAAGAACAAATCCATAAAGTAAGGTGACTTTATAACTTATTGTCTTAGAGCTAGGGCAATTCTAAAAGTAAGAGGTGACAGTAATTATATCATAATTATATTATGATGAAAACTATACATCAGAAACGGGTTTTGTGGGACAAATGTGACTACAGTAATGTAAACCGACAATGTCGTAAATTTCTATAATAAACACACATACTCTGAGTGTCGATTCCTATGAGAGAGCTGAGATGTCCCTCCTAAACTAGTGGAGACTCATTCAATTTTTTTTATTTTTTTATTTTATTTTTTTTTTTGGAAAAAAAGCTAGCATCTAGAGTCGGTGAAATATTTTAGGTTAAGAACTTACCAAACAGTGCATGAAGCTCTATAACCTAACCTTCTGAAGATCTGACTTACAAGACAATAGACAATGTTGGAGTTCCTATGTCAGTCAGTGAGTGGGCATGTCCATAGCGAATTTTAAGATGCTGAAATCTCATCAAATTGAGAGAGGTGATATGGAAGAAACACTACTCAAGACACCATTTCTTCACATCCTGGGAAGATACTGATGCTTAATTCTTCCCTGTGAGTTCAAATCAAGGCTGTGTCAAGCCACGGGGTACCACACCTTGGAGTCATTGTGCATTGGGTCTGAATGAGTTTGGTTACTGTGGTACACTCAGCGATCTTTCGGTGTTGCTAGACTTCCCACAACCTCACGTTGTTGCAGAGTCCCTTGCTGTGACTCAGTTCCGTACAGGTTTCTGACTCACAGTTAAGAAGCTGTGAGAACACTTGGATCTTTTTATTTACACACACACACACACACACACACACACACACACACACACAGAGAGAGAGAGAGAGAGAGAGAGAGAGAGAGAGAGAGAGAGAGAGAGAGAGAGAGAGAGAGAGAGAGAAATGAAGACACATTTGGAGCACTCCCAAAACAATAGAGAACTACTTTATGAACTAATCCTAAATTCAAACCCAGCCTGTTTCACGTACATGAAATAACTTCCTCTGAGTTAGGTAGGCAGTCCACAGCCGGAAGGCATGGGAACACTACAGAACTCCATGAATCCTAAGTGGTTCCAAAACGGGCTACCACAGGCCAAAAGGGGTTACCACAGCCACCCCATCAATGAATCCTAACAGTGGTTTCAACAGGGGCTACCACAGGCCAAAAGGGGCTATCATCGGCCAAAAATGGTGGTGGTGGGGAGGATAGTCTTACAAGATGGGTGAGAACCAAAGCCAAAGTCCCTTCTGTTTCGTGGGGGCAGATTTCAGCCGGCATACCTGCTGTGCTGTCTCTTGGGTTATGGACTGAGTCTACCTACCTACATCTTCTGGCTTTTGTGTCATTTCTCCCCAACAGCAAATCTGTCATCTTCCCTTACAGCAAACCTACCGTTTCTACTCTCTAGCTCCTTTGTGCCCATTCCCTTTCCCTGCAGACATCTTCTAGTCCTCTGCCTCTTCTCGTGTTTGCATACTTCCTATGTAAGTCTTCTTTTCCTATTCCAATTCCACTGCCTTAAATCAAGTGTCAAAAATTAAAAACATGCCCTTCCTCTGAAGTTATAACAAGATCACTTCAATTTTATTAACCTCTGAAAGGCTGTCAAGTCTCACATCATCAGCTTTTAGGAAGGCATTCAGAAGTAGCACTGGGAGCCGTCGATGGCCTAAAGCTTGCTCACTTCTCAGATCAGAAAGCCCAGGAAGTCCTTTTCCATCCCAGTGACCAAGGCTACGCGTTTGCCTTTCTTACTTTATAATCATTATCTATGCATATGCTATCACTGCTTGCCCTAAACCATTCTTCACTAACCTGAACGATACAACCTTTATATTTTTAACTTCAATGATTTTTTTCCTAGAAGTAATAAAATATAATTCACATACAAGCCATTTAAGGTATACATTTCAATAGCTATTGAGACACTAACATCATTACAATCAATTTTCAAACATTTTCATAAGCAACTTGGTACCAGGTTACTCTTAATCACTTTCACACTCCAGGCATCCCCAGTCCTGACAACATGAATTGTGTTCTGTGTTTGTCCCTAGATTTGTATCTGTTCTGGACATGTTTTTTAAGATTCATTTTTACTTATGCGTGTGTATGTGTGGTTGCATGGGTAAATGATATATATATGTAGGTGCACTCAGAAACCAGAGGAGGGTGTCAGATCCCTTAAATCTAGGGTTACATGCTACATGGGTGCTGGGATATGAACTTGGGTCCTCTCCAGCCCCCCATTCTGGACGTTTTATGAAGAATTCTATACTGTTAATCCTTTGTGACTAGCTTTCCCATAATGTAATGATCTCATCATTCATCTGTTATAGCACACACAGTATTTAATCCTTTTTTATTGACAAAAAAAATATACCACAGTGTGGTTATAAAACACTTAATTTGCCCATAGTTGGACATTTGAGTTGACCTACTTTTTGGCTACTAGGAATGTGATGCTATGAATGGTTAAATACAAGTTAAGTGTGGAAATTTCCATTTCTCTTGGGAGCTGATATGTTGAAGACTCAACTTCTGGGACCTCAGAATGAGGTCGTATTTGAAAATTAGGTCTTTAGCAGAAACAATCAAGTTAAAGTGAGGTCACTTGGGTAGCCACTAACTCAACAGTATTGGTGTCTCTACAACATGAAGAAATATAGACAAGGACCCCTACCCGCATGGGAAGAATACACGGGAAGAGGACAGAAATGGTGGTCTATAAACCCGGGGAGTATCAAACACTGGCAGCAATCACCAGCATCTAGAAGATGCAAAGCCTGGACACAGAGGAAAACCCCGCCCATGCCTTAAAACTTAGGATTTCTAGGCTCATAAAAAGAATTTCTGTCGTTTTGAGCGTCCAATCTAGGCACTGTCTTTAAGCCGCACCAGGACACACACTAACACAAGAGAGAGTTCAGGAGTGGGGACCCGCAGGGTACCCTGAATCAGTCCTTTCAGGAAGCTGCAATATTGTCCTCCAAAGCCTCTATGCCATTTGATTAGGTAATTTTCCAATACACTATTAGTACATTGGAAGCTTCCCTTATTGCAGACAAGCCTTATGCCTGACCCTACCTTCCATAGGTGCTTTCCCTCACCTCTCTCTCACCACCACTGGTGGGGACCTTTCCTAGCTCCCTTGCAGAGCAGGAAATTACCAAAGCGCTAGCAGGCCAGGGAGCACTAGGAAAGAAGTATCTTCAGGAGGCCTGTCCTTGTAGGCAGGTGAGGAGTACATGGCACTAAACAGCAGGAGACTTTTTAGAACAGGGATCACCTAGCTAAGCAAAAGGAAAACTGATGGAGACGGAGCCATTTTCTTTGGAGCCTGGTCACAAAATGATCTAAGTTCACAGAATATAAATCCCATTAAAAAAAAAAACAATGGAATTTTCAATTTCAGTTTGCTGTTCTAACTGAACCCTCAACTCTTTAAACAATAAATAATCTAGTCATGATAGTCACAATATAATTTAATCACATTTTAATTTTCCTGAGCAAATAAGAATAGAATCCTTTATATATTTGAATAAATATGTATGTATATGTGAATATATGTATGCATATATATATGTATATATATGCACAAAAAGATGACCACCATGTTTATCCAATAAACCTTGTAACAGCTGATAAGGTCTGTAGATTATAGAGTCTGCATGACTAGTGGATGTCAGGTATTCAAGTAATAACCTGGGCCTAGATAGCGCCACTAAAACTTAGCGAAGATAACCACATGGTAAAATGTCCATACTAAAAAAATCTCAGCGATCACCTCACTTTGTGATCAGCAACCTACACCCTTTCACGCAGAGCTTCAACCATCCTGATTCTACAGCCTTGTATGGAGGGATGGTGACGCAAGGGATTCATGACCAGCAAGCTGTGGCCAGTGACAAGACAGGGAAGACGGGCACAAAACGGTGAAAGGAACAGCCGTGGGGATTAGCGGAGGGACAGCAAGAGTGAGAAATGCCACCCTTGACCATTGGCACCCCAGGATGGTGAGCCCAGAGTCCTCAAGAGTTCTCATTTAGAATCCAACATCAAGTCACTGAAATAAATTGAGGCTCCTGACCCTCTCCAGGCTCTTAGCAGAAGTATGCGAATAAGCCAGTTGTTTCCATTTCCTCCCCTCTAACATTCTCATAGGCGGTGACTAAGCCTAGTCTGGAAAACTGGAACAAATGAACTGCTCAGGAAACCCGGGTCTGAAAGCGCAGCCACATTTGTTTGAAATTAGAAGAAAATAGACAAAACTGAATTCTAGATAATTTACTTAAAAGACTCAAATTTATTTTCAAGTCTTAGCCTCTTTTCATTTTACAGCAGAAGCCATGTGATCCTTCAGATCAGAGCTCGTCCAAGCGCAGAGGCCCCAAAAACAGCAGCTGTCACCAGTAGCTGCTAAAACAAACACCAGGTCTTAACTGTACCTCTTGATCCTGAAACTCCCAGGGTGCAACCCCACAATCCGTCACACTGGACTCCCCACATGACTGATGCACGCTGACTGACATCTGAAAACCTCTGCCTCAGCCACAATGATCACCAAAATCTACAGGAGATTTGGGTAATAGGACAGTGGCTTCTAAAATATGAGGTCACAAGGGGCACACACAGAGAGGAGGGTGCTCTCAATTTCTAGAGGAACTAGAACACGTAGCAAGCTCTAGAGCAGGACAGAGAGCCGGTACCTTCTAGATGTTTCAGGAGGGCTCTACTGCTGTTCCCGTGAGCAGATATCAGAACGGTTTTGCCCTTTAGTATTTCAGGAGCAATCCTTTCCTTCCAGTACGGAAGAAGTCTTTCCAGAACATCCTTCAAGCTTTCTGAACGCGGCAATTGATCCAGGGCTACGTCGCACACTTTATACCGCCGGTCATCGTAGATCTCGTGGAAGTAGGGATGGGACTCCTCGATGGGAGGCGGGGTCACATTGTAGCTTCTCCTCCAGAGCCTTACCTGCTCTTCACCATGATTCAGGGCCATTTTCTCCCTGTTGAGGCCAATCAAGGCTCCATAGTGACGCTCATTGAGACGCCAGGAGCTCTCCACGGGGACCCATTCCTGCCCCAGCTCTTCCAGGATCAGCCAGGCTGTGTGAATGGACCGGTTGAGAATGGACGTAAAGACTAGATCAAACTCAAAGTTCAGGGCTTTGAGTTGCTTCCCACAGTCCCGAGCTTCCTGCAGCCCTTCACTGTTAAGTTTCTGGTCCACCCAGCTACAAAATCGGTTCTGCTTATTCCACTCGCCCTCTCCGTGTCTCAGAATGATGAGTCTGTGCTTGGACATGCCGGTAGCCGAACTTCCCTGGTGTGCTCAATGGGATAATGTTCAAGAGCTGCAGGGTATCTAGAAAGAGAAGAGGGAAAAAATACAAATTACATTCACTATTCGAACGACTGCCCGGTAACGGAGAACAATTATACAACAGCCAGTTTCTAAGACGAACTGAAATTCCTTTCAACAGTTTTGACGTCCAACGTCTGGGGTTCACACCCTATGGCACATACAGGCACTCTTCAGATGATTACAGACAACCCTGCTGACTTAAATTTTCTGATGGCTGGACAGTATGTTAATTGTATGACATAAAATGGCAACACTCCATTCTAATGGTGTGTTTCTACCCAACAAGGAGGCAGTTTATGCTTATTAAGGAGAGGACAAAAGAGATGAATTATAGGTCTCAAGAAGAATGACCGGTAGCTGGGAGGGCCCAGCTCCTTGCAGCTGACTCCGCCGAAAGCGCCCTTCTCCGTTTGAGTCACCTTATCGTGCACATTTTAAAACATGCCATCTCAGGGGAACACTACATCGACGTCACATGTCACACAATCTCTCTGGCAGGTGACAACCAGCTCTTTGATGCTACAGGCTCACAAGTCTAGGGTCTGGGGAGACACTTTGGTCCGACACTCAATTATAAATAGTATAAAGTGGCCTTAGCAAGAGCAAAGGTAGTGCTCACTGAGGTGACTTTTCCCCTACTGTTGGCAGGAATAAATCCGGATGCAAAACAAGTTATCAAGCAGCTGAGAGACGCTGTCTGCAGGAACAGATTAGCAGGAGCAGGTCTGCGGGAGTGCAGGGAACCATGCTGATAAGAAGGCCTTGCCTCCTCCCCCTCCCCACCCCAGTGCAGAAATTCTACTCACATCAGCCACAAAGTGTGAGTAAAACCTAGGAAAGCAACCCTAACCCTGTGCTGTTGCTACTACCCCAAAGCTCCATGGGCCTACTCTGCCCCTTGGTTCTTCTAGACCTGGCTGCGTCAGCCCGCCTCTGATGCTGTGGACAAGAGTGGGTCACTATGCTCGGTGACACACTGCTCGGGTGGCACTTTCCGTCTCCGCCCCACTGTTTCGTCCACGCTGGGGAGCAAAGATTATATGAATACCAGGGCCTGGCTTCTGCCACTCTTGGCAGCTTCCCGTAACTGGAGATTTTTCTGTCCTGCTTGAGCTGTGATTCACCCACAGTTACATAACAACCAGTGGCAGTGTTTACTGGAGCCTGTGCCTAGATTGTACTCTTTTTTAGTAATTCCTGGAGGTTCTGAAGGGGTAAAGCTTCACTAACATAAGGCATTAGGGATAAGGGGTGGTGGTGACCCAGGTGGTTTATAAGTAGCTGAAAAAGGCTACAAGAATCAGAATTAAGATTGCTCTTTCTTACTGAGCATTCAGTCTGAGGCTTTGGTGAAACTGGAGGAGGGTTGCACCCAGTGTCTAAAGAAGCAAGGCCCAGGTGCAAGCAGCTCACAAGGCAGGGAGACGGCATAATGCCCACCCTCTCCGCCTTAGAGGGGCAGCAAGGTGCAAAGGAGGGAAGAGGGTAAAAGTCACCTGAGCCAGCCGACTCTTCAGGCCCAGGGGACAATCGCATGATGAAGCTCCAGCTTCAAGGATCTTCATCTGGGGAAGACCAAGCAATGGATCCATGGGGATAGGTGTGGTACAGAGTTAGAGTTGTGTGTAAACAAACAAACAAACAAAAAACAAACACAAAAAAAATTTGTGTGTTTGTGTGTGTGAATGCTTTGTCAGCATACATGTCTGTGCCAGAAGAGAGTAAGAGATCCCCTGGATCTAGAGTTACAGATGGTTGTTAGCTACCATGTAGGTGCGGAGAATCAAACCGGGTCTTCTAGAAGAGCAGCCGGTGCTCTCAAATGCTGGCCCATCTTTCCAGCCTCGAGAAAAGGTATTTTTATATTCCTGCCAAGTAATAGAAGTTTCGTGCCTATTGAAAACCGTACTCAGTCTTGTAAATCATGTGTTTTGTTTTGTGGGTAAGAAATGAGAAGCAGGCTATCAGCTCTTCCTCTACTCCAGCCCTTCATTTGGCATGTCAAGCACAAAGCCTCCAGGCTAAACGGTTAGCCTGGTGTTAACTGTCGAGTTGATGGAGACGGCCTCTGAGCAAGCCTGTGGGGATGATCTTGACTGTGTGACTGAGGTTAAAAAGAATCACCCGCTGCGGGTGGGGGCACTGCCTGAGTGAGACCCGGGACTGTGGGAAAACTGGAGGGAGTGCAACCCTGACTAGCATGGATGCACTATTGCACTGCTCTGCTCTTGGCTGTGGCTGTAATGCGACTGGCTGCTTCCCATTCCTGATGCCTTGATTATCCTGAAATTATGGACTGTAACTTGGGAATTGTGAGCTAAATAAACTCTGTCTCCTTCAAGTCGCTTTTGTCAGAGTATTTTATTCCAGCAATGGGAAAGAAACTAAGACAGGCATGGTGGACAAAGTCTGTAAGAAAAGCATTTCTCAATTGGTTTTGGATTATAAATCAGATCAAGGGAACCAAATGAGGAGCAATGGCATTAAAGGTACCCAGATAACTGCCACTGAGCTTCCCAGTATCTTAATCTGCTACAACTGTTTCTACGTTTTTTAACAAACAATCCTGATTTCCTTTTTACTGAAAATGTATATAGTGGAGCAGAACAGTACTACAGCCACAAAACTATGCAAACACACTCTCCTTAGTTAGTTTACTATCAACAGTGGCTGCATAGGCTACTGGGTTATTGTTTCCCGGAGTGTCTTCCTCTTATTATTTATTTAATATGTGTGGGTGTTCTGTCCGAATGTCTGTCTGTGCACCACACACAATATGCCTGGTGCCCATAGAAGCCAGAAAGAGAGTCAGATCCCCAGGACTGGACAGACGATTGTGAGCTGCCATGTGGGTGCTGGGAATTGAACCCGGGACCTCTGGATGGGCAGCCAGTGCTCTTAACCTCTGAGCCATCGCTCCAGCTCCATCTTCTTCCTTTTAAGAGTATGGTCTGTTTGAAGAAAGTTTACTAAACCAACATGTTACATGACTCTAGATCTTTCCTCCCCCCCCCCGCACCCCCCTGTCTTTCCTTCTCTCTAGACACGTCCTTATGATGATTTATGGGTACATGTGGCATGTATACACACTTTACATACGTTGTGTGTGTGTGTGTAGGTCAGAGGTTGCTAGCTAGGTGTTTTTCACATTATTATTGTTGTTGTTGTTGTTGGGATACAACCTCATGCTACACCAGGATCTCACCAAGACTAGCTGGCCAGGAAGCCCAGGGACCCTCCTGCCTGGTCTCCCCAGTGCTAGGGTTATAGGCACGTACCACCAAGCCTAGTTTTTTCATTTTTTGTTTTTGTTTTTTTTTTTTTAACATAAATACTGGGGAATCTAAGCTCAGGTCTTCACATCTGCAGAGCACTAAGGCATCTCTCCACTCATTTTCTTAGTTCTCTAACTATGGGTGTGTGCCTGTCTACTCTAGTGAAGTGATTTCCCAAAAGACTATGATCAGTCACTTCTCCATGGAGACCAACTTCTTCTCTCAGGGCCCATGCTACTCTGACTCCCCTATGTCCATTACATCCTCAGTGAAAACTCCTGCATTTGGATCTACATTTCCTCCAGCTCTCCTACTTTTACATCCTGGCCTCGGAGTTTTGTTTTATCCTATGCTATGACGGAGGTGGTAGTGAGCTTAACCACAGTAGTTGATGCAGAGTGCGTGTTCCAACCTTCAGCCACGCTTCATGCAGTAATTTCTAGTGTGCCCATTTTACAGGCAGATACAGAGCGGGAAGGGAAACACTTGCCTACGGGGTAGTAAATGGCAGGACTGTAATTCAGTCTCAGCAGGGCCCCAAGGACACCTTCATACCCTGAACGGTTCTGCTACACCCATACCGGAACCCAAGGCTCTGACCTCAAACCTTGACAGCCCAGTTTTTTTTTTCTCACGTGACAAATGAATGATTGACATGCTGAAAACCCATCTCCGTGAGCCTTCCCTGACGCATCCATTTCTTGGGTTTTCAAACGTGCAGAAATACGATTTGGGCACAGCACAACGATAAACCTGTGAGGAACATGGCTCCTGCGGAGATTATGCCTTCAAAAACCAGTGTGGGAAGGTGTACATGCCCGTGTGCCAGTAACAGTGAAAGTAACTGACACCATAACCTCATAAAAGAGGAAGAAGAAGGCAGAAATTCTCTTTCTTCGTGCACATAGCATTACCTGAGGTGGATTTGGAAAGATGTGAATTTAGATGGATATTAAAAAGGGGTGGAGTTCTAGCCTAAGGTGACAATCAGGAACAGGTGCATGGAGAGAACAGTAGGCCCACTCAACATGGAGTTTTAAGTAGGTGACTGTTCATCCTGATTTGCCTGCTTCACACTTGTTTCCTTCCCCAATATAATTATTACTAAGGCCCCCTTCACACCTATTTGGAAAATTATATGGTCAGTCTGTATAATCAGGAAGTGGGCGGAGACTAACCTGAGAGATAAAACTCAGGGCCTTGTACAAAGAATGCAGACTGTGCTATAAATGTTGAGACATCATTAAAGGATTAATAGCATGCATTTGAGTACACTGAAGCTCACAGAGACGTACAAATATTCGTTGTGAGGGGTTCTTGCAGTAACCCTGGTAACATATGGCTTTGTACTCTATATGATCTCTGTCATAACTAAGTACAATTGTATAATTCTGTCTCTGTGGCTGAAAGTGTCTATATGTAATGCATAAGTGAGTAAATGTGACATAATTTAATGATGGCACCAAAATTAGAATTTCATGTTATACATTTTTATTGCTAGGTTAACTTCATCAGTTTAAAATGCAAAAAAAAAAAAAACCAAAAACAAAAAACAACAACAATAACAAAACAACCCCCCCAACCCAAAAAACAAAACACCCATTTATATCTGTGATCTATATAAAAATAATGGGCCAGGAGGCTTTGGTCTGCAAACCCCTGCCTATCTAGACCCCATACCTGGATGTGTTCTTTACACTAGTATTTCTGGCCTTAACCAAGTAT